GTGAACAAAAACAGCATAAATGAAGATGTACAAAAAGTCTCCATAAAAGGTTGATGATGTTTAAGAAAGCCTTCATACACTTGATGATTTGACAGTAGGACTGCTCTTATGAAGTTATCATGAATGCTTTAAAACATGTTTGAATCAGTGAGCTCAAATGACTAAGCTTTACACACTTATCTGTAGATTACCATCATTTCATGAACACATACAACGATTAAAAAAAAACAAACAAGAAAAAAAACAACTTTACTGCATTTTGTTGTGAATGGAAATTCCTCAGTGCCCAGGAGATTTAGCGGTACTGAGAACATTGGGGGCCCTGGTGGGAAGTGCTTAGGTAACAGAGGTCATGCATAGGCTGATTCAACACAGTCTTCCAAGATGTGCAAGTGCAGTAAAATGTACCATCAATACATTTACTGCTGCACTTGCTGTAAAATGTGCTCGTGTGTTCGAGGAAAACAAAATAAAATATTAGAGCTGTAGACTGAGTAGTGCAAATATTGTGATGCTTAGATTTTGTATCTGGCTCACCTGAGACAAACCGTCTTTTGTACATGATCCATCATCTGTCACAGACTAGCGGCTCCACATAGGTTTGGACCCAAAGCAAACTCAAAAAAAGGTTTATTTACAGAAAAAAAGCAAGACTGGACTGGAACACCAAGAGAAAAGAAATAAATCTTGAAATCATGAAGCGTACCTTAACACAAGCAGATGTTTAGTCAAAGAGTTCATTGTATTTACCAGTTTCCAAAGGACATTCGTGGTCCTCATTTAAGTTAAAGCAGATATTTGTGTTAGAAAAGTCCCTAAAAGACACAAGTCTCAAGCATAGTTTTTTGGCAGTTTTTACTGGTGTCACATCTTTTTTAGGTTAAATTTAGCTATGACATCAGCAACCAAACTGTTGATGATAATCACTTTCTGGTAAGTTTTATGTTCCGAAATCCTCCATTATGTCTAAGATTTGGAAATACAGCAAAATCAAAATCAGGGCTAAAATGAAGAAATCCATCCTAAAATCATCCAGAATGTCTCATCACTCACAGAACTTTAATACTGTACTTATTTGTGACCTGAGGTAAAGGGTGTTTTGACTGGCCCTTACTGAGGTTAGCAGTGTGTTTTACCCAAAATTGGTGAGTCAGGTGCACTGATGATTACTGATAAATAAATTAAATCTTTTAGTTATGTGAGAAATCTGATAGTGTGGCTTCAAAGTCTAAATAGATTCTACAAAAGTAATTAAAATTAAGAGTAATGTTGTGACATGTGCAGCTGGAATGGAGGAAAACCTGTTTTATAGCTTTTGAGCTGCTGGCAGGATGAAAGTCTAACTCTGGAATGAAGCACACCTAGGCTACAGGTAAAGCAACATTGTTCTCCTCCCCTCACATCACTTACATGCAACAAAACCAGGAAACAGGAAGTTCTTCGTCCTCAGTAAAGAGAGACGCACAGACGATCAGACTGAGCTCAGACCAAACTAGCAGCTTCCTCTGAGTGAGTCCAGCTACAGGAAAGAAAAGTGGAAAACTCCAACACTGCTGCTTCAAGCTGCTGACGCTCCACACACTGAATGTGAGTTTGAGCAAAAACACGACTCAAAGGAAGTTTCAGTGAAGGTGGTAGAGGAGGGAGGGGAGCCAGGACTGACTGTACTTCCTGTCTGCTGTTTTCAGCTTCACTCACAGACTCAATGGCTTCCAGATCAGAGGAGGATCTCTGCTGTCCGGTCTGTCAGGAGGTCTTCAGAGATCCTGTTCTTCTGTCATGTAGCCACAGCTTCTGTAAAGACTGTCTGAAGAGATGGTGGAGAGAGAGACCAACACACGAGTGTCCAGTTTGTAAGAGAAGATCTTCAAAGATCCACCTTTAAATCTAGCTTTAAAGACCTGCC